TTGGGTGCCTGTCTCTTCGCAGCTTCTGCATGTGACCTGCGTTGGTGATGCCGACTTGGTCATCGAGAATTTGTTTTCTTGCGCGAACGCTTCCCGTTCCTTTTCGAGTTCTTCGTACTCATCTGCTAATATCATCAGCGTGTTCAGGTCCGACACTTTGCACGCCCTCCAGAAAGATCCTTAGACTTGGGGTGCAGTTTTCCTTGATCATCCTTAAGGTCTCTTTCGCAGAATAATTAAGTGGCCTCACCATCGTCTGCATATCGGTCATGTAGTCTTTGAACGACTCGCTGAAGCCCTGCTTCCGTTGCCGGACCTGATCCGCCAGCCTGATGAAGAAGTCTCTCGGTAGAAAGTATGTGTGGAAGCTATCTATGAACTCCGCCCATGTTTTCCATTGTTTGTTGTTGGCGATAAACCACTTCAGAGCCCTTCCCTTCAGCAATTCAGGCATCGCTCGGGGAATCATGTCTAAACTCAAGCCGTATTTGTTGGCAGACCATTCCACCTCCTCCAGGAACTCGAACGGTTTTTCCGCCCCGTCGAACCGGAACGACTATTCTTGGATCTATTTAGCAACCCTTGCATAGTCTGACTGACTGGGTATCGAGATCAGCGCTGTTGTTTTCCTGTCTTGGATTGACTCTCTCCTGTGGGCCTCTTTTTGTAAGTTGTTAACGCTCAGGCTTGCCACTAGGTTGTACCCTTCGGCGTTCGTTAGCGTGGTGCTTGGGCCGGCTTTATCGTGGTATGTAGCTTCCAGCTCGGCCCAGATGTCGACGAGTTGCGGGTCATTCTCCGTTTCTGACTAATACTCGGATAATGCCTTTCTCATGTCTTCTAATCTGCCGTCCAGCGCGACATTAAGCCTCTGGTAGATCCATTTCTTTCCCATTCTGCTTAAGTTGCTTTCACTACTGGGACAACCACGTTTTGGACGCCAGATATAACGAACTGATTTTTGCGGTCTGCTTGCTACGAGATTCGTGCGGCTAGCTCAGTAGATTGTGTGTTCGTCCCACCAAATTTATATAAACGTGACCGCCCAGTAGCTCAGTGAGAAAGCACAGAATTCTCGTGTTCGTAGTGGGTTTATTGCTGGTATATTATTACCAATGACTTGGTAGCTCGGATGTAGCCACTTGTGGCCTTCGGTATCTCCGATGGTCCTGGTTGTCTCGACGACCTCTCGCCTAGTTGACTCGGTGCTCAGGTCCTGTACCTTCCTGAAGATCCTTGAAGCTCCCTGAAGATGCTCGCTCGCTGCTCGTCCCTGACGCCTTGACTCGGTGACTGCTTATAAAAACTCAGACTCGCGTGGGGGGTCAGCCGTGCGGGCTTAGGGAAGCGTCACCGTCCTCAGACTAGGGTGAACAGACTCTGCGCTCTCCAGGATCACTCCTTTCGACACACCGCCGCCTTGCTCTGTCCCGGATGGTCCCACTGGGGTTTCTGCTCTTGATGGTTTGACTCCTCGTTATCGACTGATGATCCTGACAGCGCTCTGTGGCTTTGTATAGGGCCTCCGGGAACCGTTATTTCCCTTTTGCGCACGGCCCGGTGAAGCTCTCCACCCGTTACCCACTTGTCCTTTACGCACCGCTTTCAACCGAAGTTCTGCCTAATGCCGCCGTACCGCTGGTTAACCGTGATGCATGTGGTACGCCTGTGTGCCGCTCCGCTGCTGAGATGTGGCACTTCTTTCGCCGCGTATTGGGTAAGCGGCCGGCCATCTGCTGTTGCTACTCCTCACAACACGTTTATTTCGTTTCCATTAAACATATACGGTAATATATAAAATGGAACAATGACTTAATAATTCTGTAATTTGGTTTTAGTTTTCTAAAAATCTACGGGAACGACCTGCAAGGGTATAACTTCGGCTTGCCGAAGTTATCTTCCTTTTTTGTTTCTCTTTCCTTGTGATTAATATTTGCTTTTCAAAGGCTTGCTGATAGTACTGTAATTTATTAATTATAGTGTCACCTACCTTACCTAAACTTATCAAAGTACTTGTAAACTTTAATTTTCCGACGCACATATGTGAAACCCTTGTTTTCAGCTACAAAGCGTTAAGCCCTGATGACTTATCGCCTACGTGAACTCTAAAACTAAAGGGTAGGAAAAAGCGTGTTACCGATATCCCGCAGCTCTAAAGTGGTCTAAAATTTATAATAAAGCTTAGGAGAATATATATACTTAATGTGGTCAGAAACGCATCGTTCTACCTGTTACATACTTTCCGACAATTCTGATATACACTTTTACTCTGCGAGTAACAAGTGTAATTAAATTGACTTAAATGCGTAGATGAATGCCTTATTGATACACAGGCTAGCAACACATTTTGACTTTAAATTGCATCAAGAAGAGTATCCGCTCAATATTGGTCTGGTTTTTGTAAATTAAAAAAAAAAAATTCTGGCCACCTCTCTTTTTATACCGGTTACTCGTAGTGTAAAAGGGTATACTACATTCGTCGGAAAGGATGTAACACGTAGGTAGAAGCATTTCCGACCCCATAATCTTGATCAGGGTCACTAACCGAGTCAAACTAGCCATGTCCGGGAATGTCGGGAATTGACATGCAGATTCTTGGGCTTTCTGCGCAGCTCAAGTTTGTTTCAGCAGAACGCCACGCCTGCTCTAACGCCCACAATCGACCATAACACTAAAACTCGTCTACAAGGTGAGTTCCAAAGTAAACAGGACTTTTTTAATCTAGCGCCCTCTAGTGGCGCCATCTTTGTGTGGTGCGTTAGAATCTGCTATCGTTTATCGACTTCCAGTAAAAATTTCATGACATTTTATCTATTGGAAGTGAGGTTATTGCGTTTTAAGTGTCAGTATGTTTTTGTCATCGGTACGAAAATGAGCTTCGAACAAAGAGCCAACATTAAATTTTGATTTAAAATTGGTTAAACTTTTACCGAAACGTTTCAATTGATGAAACAAGTTTATGGTGATGATTGCCTATCCCGTAGCAGAGTGCACGAGTGGTTTCAACCTTTTTTAAAGTGGTCGTGAGGACATAAATGACGATGAACATTACCGAAAATGCCATCGAAACTGTGCGTGAATTCATAAAATATCAGTCGAAATCATCATTGAAATTCATGGAAATAGAATTGAACATCTCCAAAACATCGATTTATCGATTTTGACCGAACATTTGGGCTTACAAAAGGTGTGTGCACGGTTTGTTCCGCACAAATTGACTGACGTCCAAAAATTGCTCAGAAATCAACATTCGAAGGACATCATTAAAGAGGCAAAAAAAGACCCGAACTTCCTTTACAAGATTGTAACTTGTAATTTGTTCCACCCGGCCAAAACCTTAATGCGGTATTCTACCTTGGAGTTTTGAAGCGTTTGGTGCGCCGTGTTCGGCCCGAATATCGCGAAGATGGAAGTTGGCGTTTGTTGCACGATAATGCGCCGCCTCATCGATCGACGCTTGTGTCCGACTATTTGACCAAAAATCACATTTTAACCGTCAACCACTCCCCGACTCACCTGATATGGCACCGTGCGACTTCTCCCTTTTCGGAAAAATGCATTTGCCGATGAAAGGAAAGCGTTATGCGGACGTAGAGGCCATTCAAAAGGCTTGCACCGGCATACTGACGGCCATACCGGGCAAAGAGCTAAAACACTCGTTCGACATGCTTTTGGACCGTGCAAAACGCTGTATTAAAGAAGAAGGAGACTATTTTGAATAAAACAAATTGATTTTGCAGAAAAATATTTTTGTTCTGTCTTTTTTTTTAAAGTCCTGTTTACTTTGGAACTCACCTTGTATAATGAGGCTTTGTTCGTATTATCAACACACACCTACACAGAGAAAAAAAATACCAAAAGTGGTCATCAATCGGGTATTTTTTCATATCAATTTTGATCCCTTATGTTGCCATATCATATTCATATTTTCGAACATATGACATTGATATTTTCGAACATGTCAATTTGGTATTTTTCATACCAGATTGATATGAGCACATATCAAAGTTGTGACCAAATTGTGGTATTTTTTAATATGCAACTGATATGCTTTCATATCAAACTGATATGCTTTCACATCAAACTGATATGCTTTCATATCAAACTGATATTTTTATACCCGTTACTCGTAGAGTAAAAGGGTATACTAGATTCGTCGGAAAGTATGTAACAGGCAGAAGGAAGCGTTTCCGACCCTGTCCTTCTGTCCGTCTGTCCGTCTATCTGTCCGGATGAACGCTCAGATCTCGGAAACTATGAGAGCTAGGCTATTGAGATTTGGCGTACAGATTCCTGAGCTTCTTACGCAGCGCAAGTTTGTTTCAGTAGACTGCCACGCCCACTCTAACGCCCACAAACCGCCCGAAGCTGTAACTCCTACAGTTTTGATGCTAGATAGAAAATTTTAACTGAAATGTATTGTTCTCATCAATACCTATCGATTGACCTAAAAAAAATTTGCCACGCCCACTTAAACGCCCAAAAACCGCGAAAACCTGTGACGCCCACAATTTGCATGCTAGATAAAAAATTTTAACTGAAATGTATTGGTGTCGTCAATACCTATCGATTGATCCAAAAAGAAATTTGCCACGCCCACTCTAACGCCCATAACGCTTAAATCTGTCTACCGCCGGTAGGTGGCGCATTTTAATCTCGCTTTGCTGCTTGCATATCTCCATTTCCCTTTGAGTAACGGGTATCTGATAGTCGAGGTACTCGACTATAGCGTTCTTCCTTGTTTTTGTATCAATTTGACATTTCTTTTATTTTAACATGTTATGTTTTTCCATATCAAATTTATACTTTTTCATAAGAAACTAATATTTTATCATATAAATTTGTACTTTTAATCATTTTAACACGTTATGTTTTTCTATATTAAACTGGTATTCTTTCATATCAAACTCATACCCAGAGAAACAAATTTGTAGTTTTATTTAAAATTTATTTTCTAGATTAACGTATAGAACCACAAAAATAAATTATATAAACACTGATTAAAGTTAATAATATTTAAGCTAGAAACCATTAGTTAGAACTAATAATGTCACCTTTCCTTTATATGTTGGTGTCGTATCCCCTGCGCAGACATCAATGTGCTAAAATTTGAAATTATTACAACCTATTATGAAAATATTTAAAATTAAACTTACTTGTGCTCGCTTCCATTTTTGGAGTTTCTCGCGGAACTCGGATTTCAGACCAAGATGTTCTCTCTTGGAAAATATTAAATCAAGATCTGAAGCACTAATGTACTGCAGCCTTTCGTAGTTGTATCCACACTCTAGGAATATATTGCAAAAACAAGGAAGAACGCTATAGTCGAGTACCTCGACTATCAGATACCCGTTACTCAAAGGGAAATGGAGATATGCAAGCAGCAAAGCGAGATTAAAATGCGCCACCTACCGGCGGTAGACAGGTTTAAGCGTTAAGGGCGTTAGAGTGGGCGTGGAAAATTTATTTTTGGATCAATCGATAGGTATTGACGACACCAATACATTTCAGTTAAAATTTTTTATCTAGCATGCAAATTGTGGGCGTCACAGATTTTCGCGGTTTGTGGGCGTTTAAGTGGGCTTGGCAAACTTTTTTTTAGGTCAATCGATAGGTATTGATGAGAACAATACATTTCAGTTAAAATTTTCTATCTAGCATCAAAACTGTAGGAGTTACAGCTTCGGGCGGTTTGTGGGCGTTAGAGTGGGCGTGGCAGTCTACTGAAACAAACTTGCGCTGCGTAAGAAGCTCAGGAATCTGTACGCCAAATCTCAATAGCCTAGCTCTCATAGTTTCCGAGATCTGAGCGTTCATCCGGACAGATAGACGGACAGACGGACAGACGGACTGGCTAGATCGACTCGGCTAGTGATCCTGATCAAGAATATATTTACTTTATGGGGTCGGAAACGCTTCCTTCTGCCTGTTACATACTTTCCGACCAATCTAGTATACCCTTTTACTCTACGAGTAACGGGTATAATAAGTCTCAACTAATAATGGCTTACACATGTATATATATATATATATATATATATTATATATATATATATATATATATATATATGCAAATATGTTGATTTATAAAAACCTAAAAGCAGGTCAAGCACAACCAAATCGACCTCGAGGTCCGTAAGGACTTGAAGCAAAAGTGGATCCTCCATGGTACTTCGACAAACTAATGCACAAATAAAGTAATTTAGTTAGTAATTACATTTATAAACACCTTTAACTTTTCTTTTGTCACGTTTTACACTAAAATTGACGCAGTAAATAAAAGTGGGACCACCGCATACAAAGCGTAATTATACCGTTGTACACAGAATATACACAAAAAGGACGAGTTTACAGTCATACTATTTTTTCGAAGACTTTTCGATGTTACGTTTGATATGAAATCTTATAAACTTGCTAAGTATTCATATCATTATGATACGGATTCATATTAACATTTAAAGTTGATATGATTTCGTATCATATTGATATGAATTCGAATCATTTTGATATGAAAAAATTGATATGTGAAAATTGAGGAGACAATATCAAACGGGTATTGTTCCGTTTTTTTCTCTGTGTACATGCCAAAAGTTATTGTAATGTAATTGTAAGAATATTTGGTTTTTTCTGCATACAGTAACGATTTTTCCAAAAAGTTAATTTTTCGAGTTCTAAAAATAAAAACTGAATCGTTCACGAACTCGGCACAGTCATTACGAATAATTTAAGAAAAATGAAGAAGATCGATCAAATAGTTCTTGTGCAATCGCGGTCACAGCAAAGGCACTTTTGGAAAAAAACGTCTTTGAGATAATCGCATTCAAAGTTTTACGTTGAGTATATACAAGTATTGAACCGCGCCTCAAAACGCTGTTTTCCTATCGAACTATTATTCGGATCTCTATGAAAATTTGGGAAAATGTTCTCTAGGGGATATACTTTAGGATTCAGCAAAAAAAATTTCGTTTTTTTGAAAAAAAAAAGGTACAGAGGGAAGCGTTTCCGACCCTATAGAGTATATATATTCTCGATCAGGATCACTAGAAGAGTCAATCTAGCCATGTCAGTCCTTCCGTATGTCTGTCCGTCCGTACTAACGTTGTGATCTCGGAAACAACAAAAGCTAAGAACTGGGGATTTGACATGTAGATTCGTGAGCTTCTTACGCAGCGCAACGAAGCAATACCGACGATGCGAATTATTCAGCCGCATCTAAATAGTTGTTTTACACAAACCCATACCCATCACATCACCTACCCATCTCCCCTCCCAAATCAATATCTCACTCCGGGCCGAGCTACGGTGTAATACGGACCGTGCCAAGAGTCAGCCTGGGTTGGGGCCCGGAACAAAAACAAGGAAGAACGCTATAGTCGAGTACCTCGACTATCAGATACCCGTTACTCAGCTAAATAGAGATATGCAAGTAGCAAAGCGAGATTAAAATGCGCCACCTACCGGCGGTATACAGATTTAAGCGTTATGGGCGTTAGAGTGGGCGTGGCAAATTTTTTGGACCAATCGATAGGTATTGACGAGACCAATACATTTCAGTTAAAATTTTTTATCTAGCATAAAAATTGTGGGCGTCACAGGTTTTCGCGGTTTGTGGGCTTTAGAGTGGGCGTGGCATATTCGCGTGACAAACTTGCGCTGCGTATAAGGCTACGGAATCTAAATCTGAAATCCGAATTCTCTATCTTTGATAGTTTCTGAGATATCCACGTTCATATTTACGATTTTTTGAAGTTTATGGGCGTTATGGTGGGCGTGGCAAACTTTTTTTGGGTCAATCGATAGGTATTGATGAGAACATTACATTTCAGTTAAAATTTTTATTCTAGCATCAAAACTGTGGGAGCCACAGTTTTGGGCGGATTGTGGGCGTTAGAGTGGGCGTGGCACTGAACTGAAACAAACTTGCGCTGCGTAAGAAGCTCAGGAATCTTCACGCCAAATCCCAATAGCCTAGCTCCCATAGTTTCCGAGATCTCAGCGTTCATCCGGACAGACAGACGGACAGACGGACATGGCTAGATCGACTCGGCTAGTGATCCTGATCAAGAATATATATACTTTATGGGGTCGGAAACGCTTCCTTCTGCCTGTTACATACTTTCCGACGAATCTAGTATACCCTTTTACTCTACGAGTAACGGGTATAACTAGCCCAGTCTCAAACGGTGTGCTCAGGGACATGGCTACGTCCTGCTCTAACTATTGCCTTACCCGGGCATCGCGGATCTCTGCCCGGGCGGACCTTTCCCCTTCTCCGCAACAAGTGGAACCTATTATGGAAGCAACAAGGACAATTCAAAAACAAATCACAGAGACGGGAACTCTCAAAAAACCCACGGAAACTCTGAACACTGGTTTCAACATCCGCACCAGCACGGTTCCAAAAGGGCCGCATCCCAAACTGGGGATTACGGGTGCAAAAAGCCAGCCGCGAACGTCTTCGCCACGGACGCTTCTGCGCCTAAAACAGGGGGGGGGATGAGAACATTACATTTCAGTTAAAATTTTTATTCTAGCATCAAAACTGTGGGAGCCACAGTTTTGGGCGGATTGTGGGCGTTAGAGTGGGCGTGGCACTGAACTGAAACAATCTTGCGCTGCGTAAGAAGCTCAGGAATCTTCACGCCAAATCCCAATAGCCTAGCTCCCATAGTTTCCGAGATCTCAGCGTTCATCCGGACAGACAGACGGACAGACGGACATGGCTAGATCGACTCGGCTAGTGATCCTGATCAAGAATATATATACTTTATGGGGTCGGAAACGCTTCCTTCTGCCTGTTACATACTTTCCGACGAATCTAGTATACCCTTTTACTCTACGAGTAACGGGTATAACTAGCCCAGTCTCAAACGGTGTGCTCAGGGACATGGCTACGTCCTGCTCTAACTATTGCCTTACCCGGGCATCGCGGATCTCTGCCCGGGCGGACCTTTCCCCTTCTCCGCAACAAGTGGAACCTATTATGGAAGCAACAAGGACAATTCAAAAACAAATCACAGAGACGGGAACTCTCAAAAAACCCACGGAAACTCTGAACACTGGTTTCAACATCCGCACCAGCACGGTTCCAAAAGGGCCGCATCCCAAACTGGGGATTACGGGTGCAAAAAGCCAGCCGCGAACGTCTTCGCCACGGACGCTTCTGCGCCTAAAAGAAGGCACTCGGGCCACCCGCTGGCGCCTATAAATACACGTACGCAGAAAGGCGGACTACCGCGCAGATTCGGCGCTCTCATGCCAGGAGCAACATTGCCACACCTTCGCCTGAATGGCTAAAAAAGGTAGAGTGGGCAAGGAAGGTGCTTCCTAACTACGGGCAGGATAAGCCCACCCAAGAAGGGACTCAGGCGAAAAGGCAGCGATCCCTCGATCTACCCGCACCATCGGCAAAGAGATCCAAGATCCAGCCATCGGTCTCTTTCGCCGAGATCACCAAAGACCGAGTCTTACTCGGTCTCATAGACTGGGGCAATCCGGAGGGCAGGATTCCCAGGAATAAGTGGAAGGCAGTGGAGTCCCAGCTCTTCCACATATGCCTGCGCATGGTGCGAGAGAAGCCGGGTTCATCGCCCTGCTGCATGTACGCGGTCTGGTACCAGGACAGGGTCAAGGTGGTGGCCTTCGATAGTTAGCGGTCGGCTGACCTATAAAAACAGGCGACGTGCAAGCTATACGAAGGGGCGAGCGTTGTCGCACTAGACTGGTGTGATCTCCCCAGTAGGCCCCGATCTCGGATTTTTCTCCCAGCAGCGATGAGGGCGACGGAGGACATCCTCTACATGTTGCAGGAATGCAACCCGCACCTCCCCAAGAGGGACTGTAAAGTCGTCAAGGTGGAGGAGCATGAAGGGGAGGTCAACCAGGCGGTGTTGGTCCTAAACAAGGAGTCAGTTGCTCCAATCGAGACTGCTCGAGGAGTGCTAAACTTCGCATCCATATTAGGTAGTTTAGTGTAGAAGTGGAAGTTTTGCCAGGAACCCAGCCGAGCAGGTGCTTGCTGAGGAGTTGGAGGCACCAGGTGGGCCGGAGGACGGCTACTCCACCGATTCTTCGCTGAGCAGAGAGCTGCGAGCGCTTGGACCGGCAATCGAGGACGTGGACTGTAGTGGGGGTTGCAGCTGTAGATGTAAATAAGACTTCTACAACTTTACCTACACCACAGTTTAGCAGCGTCTGATGCACTTTTGCTTTGCCTGACCGAAGGCGAACCCGACCTAGTCCTGGTACAGGCACCTTGGGTAGTATGAGGCAAGGTTACTGGACTAGGAACTAAAGAATGCAAGCTTATGCTTGGCCCCAAAGAAGGTAAAATTCGAACCTGCATATTAGCCAAAAGGCATCTTAGTATATTTCTGCTTCGCAATTACAGCAACGGAGATAACTCCGCAGTAAGCCTGGAGCTACAAAGTGGCTTCATAAGGATACTATCGGCTTAATTGGCCTTCGAAAAGTTGAGGAAAGGAAAAGGAAAGGAATGAGCTGGTCAGAGGACTGGCAGAGGAATGCGAAAAGCTCATAAAGGTTTGGTAATAGGCTGTAACCGCAACACCCATCACACCCAGTGGGGTTGCCCAAACAATAACGACAGAGCTGAGTCTCTATTTGATTTTATTCTAAACTCGAACCTATTCTTATGCAATAGGGGCAACGTCCCTACCTTCATAACTAAAATTTGCCAACCGATCATAGATCTAACATTGGTATCAGACTCACTCGTAGGCGCAGTCAAAGACTGGGCAGCCTCTGACGAGCACTCTTTTTCAGACCATAGATTTGTAGAAACTATATTGTCCCTTGATTCACCCTTGCCGGCCAGTTTCGCTAACCCCAGACGCTAACCCCAGAGCAAATGCGGGAAATGAGGACATTAACTGGCCAAACTACAAGCATGAACTAGCCTCGTACAAAAAGGCCATTAGAAGAGCGAAACGTACTGCACGGCAGACCTTCTGCTCTGATATAGAAAAAACGACTCATGCCGAAAGGCTCCGGAAAATACTCTCTAAGACAGCCGCGTCCTTGAGCTATTTTCAGAAGGCAAATGGATCTTGACTCCAGTAAAGAGTGCTTGGACCTGATCCTATACGCTCACTTTCCAGGGAGCCAACAA